CAAGATAATGCACTGGCAGATTACTTACAAGCAAGTGTAATGCTGCAATACAACAAGCGCTAAGAGGATATTAGGAGAACGAAATCAAATGCGAATAAGCATCGTGCATTTGGAGTACACTGACTGAGTCATTAGGCCTAATATAGTTTTATGTTGTATTTAGAGCAGTCCCGACCAGTTCAGGAGAAAATAAGGGATAATTTCAAGGCTAGAAACTTGCTTCGTTAACAATAAAGCGTTTGATTTAGACTATTCTTTTTGTAGTTGTGAATAGCATAATCTTTGGAAAACGAGCATAATTTGAGCATAATTTGAACAAAAAACGAGCACTGCTAGTAGCATAATGTGATACTTTTATTAGCACAATCGATAAGAGCAAGAGCATATAAAGAAGGTGGTACCTTCTTTATATGCTCTTGATAAGAGCCTACTCGCGGAGCGCGGCTGGTATCCCCAGCTACCAAGGTACCATCGTGGTATACGGTTAGGGTTTAAAGTGTATAAACCTCGCGGCTAGATGCATATATTATACCTACTGTATTGCTACTTTCACAACATGTCTTCATAAAATCTAAACGAAATTTACGAAAGTAGCACCACAGGATGTTTACAGTGTTTACACATGCGGTACACAGCCGGGCGAACGTTGTGCTGCATTAACAGTTCTTTTCTGTGATAACACATGTTATACTTTAAGGGCCGGACACACCAGGCGATTGCATCGGGCGATTACATCGGGTGATGTACGCCATTTCTATCGCGCGAGCGCAGTGGACACACTAGGCGAATAAATCGGCGATAATGACAGTAATGGGACACAGCGAAACAAGAAGAAAGCAGCAGGAAACAGCAACAGCAGGAGCACACGACCAGCACAGAGCAACAGAAAGAGCCAAGCCCAGCAGCAGCGAGCAGCAGCAACACAGCAACAGAGCGAAGCAGCACGCAAACACAGCCAGCAGCAGCAGCAGCAACAACCACCCTTTACAAACAAGAGCCGCAGAGCGTCTGGGCTCATCTGAGTTCTGTTCGCCGATTATAAACGTAAAATTTCAGTGCATGCTAGCGTGGCTGTTACCACATTTGTTAGGCGCAGATATGCAGACACGCAGTTGCGTACACATCATTGTTAGGACACGCCCACTATCGCAGATGTGAGGGTGGGCGGAAGGGTGCGGGGGGAGAGGGGCGGGGGGAGGGGTGGGGAAGGGGGAAGGGGGAGGGTGGGGGGAGGAGGCTCTAATAGCAAAAGCAGTTCACTCCATTTGTTAACAGTCAACAAATCCATGTTTAACCTCCTCTTGAGGGTCAAAAGGTTATCAGACACTTACTCTTCGCACGTCAGTGGAAAGCAGATTTCATGGTCCTTTCAATAAAGCCATAAAAAATGATAGGTCACCGCTGAAACAAAAAAGTTTTTCAATCGCTCCGTCAGCCATGTCCTCAGAAAATGTCTAAAATCTGCCCTGTGCCCCATTGACCTTGACTGTGACCTCCAATTTCACACAGTGATGACTTTTCCTACCGTGATGCTATACACCAACTATCACGAGCTTAGTCGAGACGTTTAGATTTGTGCCGCAATTCTGCATTTCCTCCCTATACCTTAAGTTAAGGAGGGAATGTTCGCCCCTTCTTTTACACCTCTTGACCTTGACCTTTGACCCCCAGCTTCGACATCCCAACTCGTTTTCGGATTACCCCCCACGTCCCGAATATCGTGACCGTACGTCGAGCCGTTTAGATTTGTGCCCAACTGTGACGGCGGACGGACGGACGGGACGGACGGACGCAACGGACGGACGATCAAGCGATTCTACAAGCTGGCATCTGACTATGTCAGATGAGCTAAAAACACAGCAGCAAATTTACAGTACGCGTGTATTGTTTATCAATTTTCCCGGTCAAATTACCGTGACGCCGAGCTTCGCCGCCATCGAAACCTTCACGGCCTCCTTCTTCGTTCTGTCCTTGTACTCAGACAGGGACAGATCGTACAAGAGGGGCTTCGCCTCCCACAAAGTAATCAACTCTGCCACTTTGTCGTAGGACCACGTTTCTCCTGCTCATGAAGGTTGCCATTTGTCGAATTACGTCAGTATCATGAACAACTCTGATTGTGCGATGAATTGTACAATCAGGCGATGTTATCGCCGGCCGCGGACACACTAGGCGATTGCATCGGGTGATAAAATCGGGCGATAATATCATAACGTTTTGATCTGTGCGATGGCATCGGGCGATGATCCGGCGGCCGATTGAGTGGACACACTAGGCGATTTCACGGCGATTACATAGCCCGATGTAATCGCCCGATGCAATCGCCTGGTGTGTCCGGCCCTTTATTGATCAATGTTTACTCGGTACGAAATTGTGAAATTTGGTTAAATCACATGTTATCTACATTACATATGCAATCAGACAAAATATAGTGTTCTTCGTTTCAGGAACTATTTGCGCTAGCGTAGGGCTACTATTTAGCGTCCTCTGACACTTCGCTCAGCATAATTTATTTGTATTTGCAAGTATGCTCACAGTATGGCTGAAGGGGTCGTTGTCGTATCAGGTACTACAGATATGTACCCGAGGTACGTACATATGTATACACAAGTGTACCAGACCTCTATCTTCTCAGCATATATGTACCCTATGTTTACATAAACGTACCTGCCCCTGAGATGAGATGCAGAATGAGACGGCAATGGAGGAGGAGTAGGGCAGGAGGAGAGGAGGTAGGAGGAGGAGGAGGAGGAGGAGAATGGGTGATGGAGTAGGGGGAGGAGGAGGAGGGAAGGAGGGCGAGAAGGAGGAGGAGCGAAAGGAGGAGCAGAGAAGGTAATGGAGATCGAATGAAGACGGTCAAGGAGGAGGAGTAGGGGGCAGGATGAGGAGGAGGAGGAGGATGGGAGGAGGGGAGGATGAGGGGAGAAGGTGATGGAGGAGAAGTAGGGGGCAGGAGGAAGAGCGGAGAAGGGGATGGAAATCGAATGAAGACGGGCATGGAGGAGGAGTAGGGGGCAGGAGGAGGAGGGGAGAAGGGGATGGAGATCGAATGAAGATGGTCATGGAGGAGGAGTAGGGGGAAGGAGTAGGAGGAGGAGGAGGAGGGGAGAAGGTGATGGAGTAGGGGAAGGAGGAGGAGGAGGAGCGGAGAAGGTGATGGAGATCGAATGAAGACGGTCATGGAGGAGGAGGAAGGGAGGAGGCGATGGAGGAGTAGGAGGCAGGAGGAGGAGGAGGAGGAGGGGAGAAGGTGTTGGAGTAGGTGGAGGAGGAGGAGGAGGGGAGACGGTGTTGGAGTAGGGTGAGGAGGAGGAGGAGTAGGAGGCAGGAGGAGGAGGAAGAGGAGGGGAGGTGTTGGAGTAGGTGGAGGATGAGGAGGAGAAGACGAAGGGGAGAAAATGATGGAGGAGTAGTAGGGGGCAGGAGGAGGAGGAGGAGGAGGGGAGACGGTGATAGATGAGTAAGAGGGGAGAAGATGATCCTACCTCCTACTCCTCCATCACCTTCTCCCCTCATCCTCCTCCCTCCTCCATCACCATCTCCCCTCCTCCTCCATCACCTTCTCCCCTCCTCCTCCTCCTGCTCCCCTACTCCATCACCTTCTCTCCTCCTCCTCCTGCCCCCTTCTTCCCTCCTCCTCCTCCTCCTACTCCATCACCTTCTCTCCTTCTCCTCCTCCTCTCCTCCTCCTCCTACTCCATCACTTTCTCCCCTTCTCCTCCCCCTACTCCATCACCTTCTCCCCTCCTCCTCTTCCTCCTCCTCCTGCCCCCTACTCCTCCATGACCGTCTTCATTCGATCTCCATCTCCTTCTCCGCTCCTCCTCCCCCTCCTCCTCCTCCCCCTACTCCATCACCTTCTCCTCCTCCTGCCCCTCCTCCTCCTCCATGACCTTCATTTGATCTCCATCACCTTTTCCTCTCTTCCTCCTCCTCCACCTCATCCTGCCCCTTACTCCAGCACCTTCTCTCCTCCTCTTCCCCCTACTCCATCACCTTCTCCCCTCCTCCTCCCCCTACTCCATCACCTTCTCCCCTCCTCCTCCTCCTCCTCCTTCTCCTGCTCCCTACTCCTCGTCCATGACCGTCTTCATTCGATCTCCATCACCTTCTCCGCTCCCCTCTTCCTCCTCCTCCTCCTCCTTCCTCCCTCCTCCTCCCCCTCCTCCCCCTACTCCATCACCTTCTCCCCTCCTCCTCCTCCTCCTATTTCTCCTGCCCCCTACTCCTCTTCTATGACCGTCTTCATTCGATCTCCATCACCTTCTCCGCTCC